GCAGCTGGCTACTGAGGATGTATCGATGAGGGAGGAGCCGGTTTTGATTTCATCAGATTCAAGGTCTGCTTTGCAGCTTCTATCCTACTCTTCTGGGCACTCGTATTGTGAAATTGTCTTCAAGATACAGGAGTTGATGCTTGTCAAGGGACTAGAAAAAGTGGCAATTTGCTGGATCAGAGGACACATCGGGATCCGTGGGAATGAGGTGGCAGATAGGGTAGCAAACCTTGCACATTCTAACAACCGCACAGCAAGATCTCAACTGTGCTTCGAGGAGTGGATCTGCACCTTGAAGTCATTCACCGTTAAAGAGTGGGCACGCCAATGGTCAGCCAACGTGCAAGAAACAGGAAAGGGGACCTTCCGATGAAGCTTGGGACCTGAGATATCCTATGTGGACTATGGATCACTACCACGTTCCGTTGAATGCGCTGTGTCACGTCTGCGCCTGGGGCATGCTGGTGTTAACGCTCATCTGGCCAGATTCAACTTAGCCAACTCCAGTAATTGTCCAGAATGTAATGTAGAGGGCGCAATCAGACACCTCATCCTGCACTGCACGCTGTTCATCAACCAATGAAGAGAATTCCGCACAAGACTGGAGGGCCTGTCTCTTCCCTGGGAGCTGTCCTCAGCTCTTGGAGGTGGTGATGCCCCAATGAGGAAATGCACTGCTGCCATCCATCTCCTTGGTCAATATCTGCTTAGCTGCAATGTGGTGACCAGGCTGTGAATAAAAAAAGCCTAATTTTAATTTTTCTTTTCACAATTTACTGCCACACTGGCTGTGAAAGTGCTAGCTAGGAGGTAAAGAGATCTAGAACTCAAGTGAAGTGTCCAAAACCCCCAGTTGTGCTCAGGCTGGGAGGTGTGCTACCTGCATACCCGAAGCCTTCAAATAAAAAATTATAAAAAAATTATCTGTAATGACGGGATAACTGCTATTTTGTAGTATAAATGACTAAATCCTTACAATGCACTAATTTTTCAATAAGTGAAATTTTTTCACTAATTGAGGTAAATGTAATTAATATTCTTTGTTTTTATCAATTTTTTCCTTAACTGGAGGGGGTCTGGAGCCTTTGCTAAGCCCCACTGTGCGGAAATGGCCACCATTTTTTGGATTTATGTAAATTCCACAAATAAAGTTTTCATGCTGACACATGTCTGCCACTTTTTTACAAGTGATATTGTTTAATATGGCAAATATTTTTGACTACAGACCTTAGCAGAAATAACTTTTCATAATATAGTTTTTTGCCATTTTTTCAGGAATTTTTTTTTAAAGCTAGTAAATGTAGTATTTTTAAACTTCATTTATAATACATGGATAGGAAAAATGTTGACCTTTACGCCACTATATTTAGTTCTGCAATATTCCAAATAGTTTTGCTACTAAAACAGTTTACGCCGTGTTGGAGGACTGTCTGGAGTTACCCCGCCTGTCCCAAGTAGCCCCGGTTGACGGTACCTACTGGAGTGAGGAGTTGGCTAAGTTGAATCTGGCCAGATGAGCGTTAACACCAGTATGCCCCAGGTGCAGACGTGACACAGCACATTCAACGGAATGTGGTAGTGATCCATAGTCCACATAGGATATCTCAGACTGCCGACACAGGAGCGTCATTTTCCAAGGGGGGAAGGGAACAAGTGCCGATAGAAGAGATATGATGATATGAGTACCGATAGAAGAGACAGCAATTTAATTAATTGTACTAACAACGTACTTATAGAAACATTGTATTTCATACAATCATGTTCGATGAGGAATCAGAGTTTATCCTGAATAATTCATTTTCTTTTTCTGCACTAACTATAATTAAATAACGATGTTACTTATTAATCTGATTAGCAAAAGGTACCGAAAATAATTTGCAAATCTTAGTATTGTGAATTGAATTTCATATGTTTACTAATGTACCTGGGTTTCATTATTGCAGACCATCCTGCTGAATCATGATCTAATAAAATGACTGAAATAGCCATTTATATGTAAAGCATAGTGGCAAAGCAGAGAGTTTTTTAGACTCTCCCTCAAGTTCATTTTTGAGTCCTATATGTAGACCAGTAAAGTATCCTGGATACCAGCATTATCATACTTAAGAAATTGGTTTAGCCTAAATCTTGATGAAATGAGAAAATTAAAAATGAACTGATTCTAAAAAAGCTCTGGTTTGCCACTATGATGTAAAGTAACATAACGCAAATGAACACCCCGCTTTTATGTCATTAATTCTAAATGAACTTGCAAAATGGTCCAATGCAGTTCATAATAAACCTAAGAATAGGCTATTACAGGGTTCTCTAAAAATAGAAATCAATGAAAATGTATTTTCTTCTTGCCAAGTGACAAACTGTATCTTTGAGCGTATAAAGCCAGAAAACCGGCATTGAACTTCTATGTAAAATTATGTTACTACTATGATGTCCGTTGACATATGCAAACTCTAGTAACTGAGCCTATTTCTAAAAAATTAGGTTTGAAATTAATGCCAAATTAATTAATGCCTAATCTAAGCACTGATGATTAACATCCAGTCTCATTGTAATTAACAATTTTGATCATTGTTAAGAAACTTGTACACATGACACTGATGTGTTGACCTATGTATTAGCTTTGCTTTATATTAATGAAGCGAGGACGCTTCAAGCTGTGGTGGGCGGATGTGTCCCAGATTGATGTCATTACTGACTATTACGTCACCTTCTGTGACGTCACTATTCGCGGGCCACCGCGGATATAAGCTGGGATAGCGCACGGTTAGTGAGTCTTAGGCGAGTCTTAGGCAGACAGCCTTCAGCTGCAGCCATGCAGTTAACTCTAGACTCCGGCACTCATACTAACACTCAGTGTTGTTACACTCTATCTCCAAAATTACTGCATATACTGTGCTTTGATCCTGTAACTTCTATCTAGTGTATCCATGAACCTATCTTTTTAAAACTTATGCTTAGATACACGTCTTGTCATTATCCTTCCCTGGCCAATGAATATTTAATCTGTTATTCAGAAAATTTATTAACAAACCAAAACCCCTCAGGTTTATCTACAATGGAACAGTAGATCAGACGGATCTATTAAGAACCGTGACAGCTGTCGATAAAAAATATCCATTCCGTGCAGCAATGTACCGTAGTACCATCAACCAGGGCTACTTGGGACAGGCGGGGTAACTTGGGGCAGTCCTCCGACACGGCGTAAAACTGTTTTAGTAGCAAAACTAATTGGAAGATTGCAAAACTAAATATAGTGGTGTAAACATCAACATTTTTCCTATCTATGTAGTATAAAGGGAAGTTCAAAATACTACATTCACTAGCTTTAAAAAATTCCTGAAAAAAATGGTGAAAAATGATATTTTGGAAAGTTACTTCTGCTAAGGTCTGCAGTAAAAAAAAATTCACTGTATTAAAAAATTTTACTTACATAAAAGTTGCACCCAGGTGTTGGCTTGAAAACGTAATTGACAGATTTTGCCTATCTCATTCCAAAAAAAAATGGTGGTCATTTTCGCACGGAAGGGCTACTCAGGACACCCCCCCAGGGCTATTCGGGACACCCCCCAGGGCTATTCGGGACACCCCCAAAAGTGCATTTACAGTAGAATCTCAGTTAGCAAAGGCTCCAGTTAAGAAAAAAATTGATTAAAAACAAAAAATATTGATTACATTTACCTCGCTGAGCAATAAAAGTTCACTTATCGTCACACAAATTACAAGCCGTCTTGTAAGCTTACAGATACAGAAAAAATGCTATAAGGCTGCTGATATGAAGCTTGCAGTGAACAAGGTTGTTGTAAATGCTCAATGGCATGTTCATGGATATGGTAATATGGCATCAATAATGCAGTAATATCCCATCAATAATACGGTACTGTCAACTGGGGGATTCAGCCCTGTTCCTAATGATGGTCAAAGCGGGGGTCATAAGCAATGGCCAAAGTCACTCTGGCATTTATGACCTCGTTTACAACCCTGGCGTTTAGAACCCCGGCGTTTATGACCCCATTGTTTACGACCCCGTTTTTGTTTGCAAAACAAAATAAAAAATCATGGCCAAAGTCACCCCAGTTGACAGTAATTAATGTTTATGGTAATATCATCTCAATAAAGGAAAACGGAGTAAAAATCGCAGAAAATGTCATTTATTCTACCTCTACATCATCTACAATGAAAGAGGAGGACTTCAGAGTACTTTTTGTAATGGGTGAGTACACTCTGCATGCTGTAAAAGTTTTAAAATTAAGTTTTATTGCAAGTGTCCCGATTAGCCCCGTTTGACGAGGCTACTCGGGACACTTTTTTTTCGCTTCTGGCACCTTACAAATAGCATATAGAATATTTTGACGATGCCATTGGATAGCCCTCGCAAAAAGCTATAAAATGAGCCTAAATTTGTTTATGAAATGTTTCATCATAAGAAGTTATTAACAGTTATTAACAAAAAAATGCTCATAACTGTCCCGAGTAGCCCCGGTTGACGGTACCGTAACTCTTGGAGTCATGACTCAGTTACTCATTCTGAATTGTAAAATGGTGAATAATTTTCAAATTGATTTGGTATCTGTAGATTATTTTTAAACATTGCCACCTAATTTGCTTCAGCATCAAGATAAATTCATATGAATGTTTTTCTGTCAAAAATTTTATTGTCTTTTTTACTTGATGAATAAAATGACTACCTTCAATCAAGATTGGAATTTTCATACTTATGAACAAAATTTCATGACTCAGAAGTGAGAAATTTTGTATAGTACATGTGGAATCATGTGGCTCAATTATGTACATATGTTAATAATTAGATAGAAGAGAAAGTACTAATTCATATAGCAGGAATTTCAAGGCGCCAAAAATGGTAGGAAAGCTCTAGTCATGACTTGAAAAGTACATATATTTCATGACAGAATTCAATACATACTCTTTCAATGCTTGGTAATTTGATCTCAATAATATATTGACGGCTTGAGTCACTAAAATGTCATTATGGTATGTCGCTAATTTATTTGTTTCAGGTGACCTGATCCTAATTCTTGGCCTTTTCAGTTACTAAAATGCTTTGAATGTTTTTTCTTTAAGATCACATGTTGCTTTTGTAAGATCAAGTGGTGCATTAAACAAAATCTGGAAAGACCTTATGAGAGCTTTCATGAGGCTAAAATGCCTAACATTCGAGTTTATTACCGCAAACTGCTTGCTGGTGTTGGCGCTTTCCTGCTGGTCCTGTTGTTCATATTGAGCCAATTGTCATACAGCTCAAAATATAAATTAGGAGAAACTGAAGAACATCCATCTCTCCTGCATAGTTCGTCAATCAACAGAAAAGCTGCTTCAGTTGAAGGACCCAGATTATCTAAAGTATCTGAGTCTGATCTTGGCTTGCACAAACATAATCTTAGCCAGCTTTTAATCAACCTGGCCAATGTGAGTAATAAATTTAGTACCTACCTATGCATTTTTTTGTGATTCAAACTATCAGCATAGGTTTATATCACTAGTATGAAATAGAGAGCTGAGTCAAGTTTTACTTGAATTCATTTGTGCCAAAAGTGGAGGTATATTTTTTAGAGTATTGAAAACTCCTGATGTTTTTAATTTTTGTTTTAATTTTATGACCACAGGAAAGGTCATGTCCTGCTTGCTTGGGATCAGATCTTTGTGAAGATCTAAGTTCTGGTTTCTTGAGCCTCATATCAGCCAAAGGGGTGCTGGATGAGGAGACACAGGCTGTTGAATATATGGCCAATATTGGTGTGAAACATTTAGTTAGGCTACAGGTGAGATTCCTTACTCCATCTCATTTAAATCTAATTTTTTTTATTAATTTGCTTACAATTGAGTGTCTGATGTTCTGAGGGCATGTTTTCACAAAACATTCCAGTGACGATACAGAACTACGTACCTTAAGTAAAACCCGCTTAAAAAAATTAAAGGAAAATATTCTAATGTGTGAAAAAAACGAATTAAAAAAACTTTTAAAAACCACTTATTCTTAACGGACAAAAAAGAAAAACATTTACTCTTACATAACATTTAAGTTATGTAAAATGTTATGTAATGTTATGTAAGAGTAAATGTTTTTCTTTTTTGTCCGTTAAGAAAATGTGGTTTTTATAAGTTTTTTATTTGTTTTATTCCACTATTTTTAGTTTTGTAAAAACCAGAAAAACATGGTTTTTATAAATATTTTTTTTTTATATTTATTTATTTTCTACTTTTTAGTTAGCAATTTTAGCAATTCAAATCAATTTCCAGGGTTGGCAAGTATGGATGTTTGAGAAAAAACTCAATTCTAAACCATGAATTTTTAGTGTTTCTTTATTTTATTTTATATTTTTTTCTAAATTTTTTTTTAATTATCATTTCTGATGATCAAATCTTGATTTGTTAGGCAGCATAAGCATGTAGGTATGTCAAATTTCAAGTTTCTAGGATGTTCAGAAGAGCTCTAAATTAAGGTCTGAATTTATGATGACAGACAGACAGACAGACAGGAAACAAAGCTAAGAAAATGTGGTAAAATGAATAAAACTTCCATTTCCTGTTTTTAAAGGTATTTTGATATTTCCAATGTATAAATACAAAAGTAAAATTTATTTGTGTAGGTATTTGCTTTATCACTTGAATATGTAGGTACGGTATCTCATTGAACTAACTAGGTGTATGTTTTCCAAATTTCATTAATGTGAATTAAACTGTCATCCAATGAGCTGTAGGTAGCTGATTGATGGTGCACTTGAAATAAATTCAGTGATTAGAGTGAGGGATCACTTTAGTTGAATATTATTGGTAAACAATTAGCTAATTATCATCTGCATTGTGAATAACAATTCAAATCAGTTTCTCATTTCAAAATATAACTGACATCTATTGTCTTGGAAACATATTCTATGATATTCACATCAAGTTGATTCAGGAATACTACATTATTTCAAATTTGCAAAGTTCAAGTTTGTTCTGTAAATTTACTCTGGAAATTTCAGTTTTCTAATAGTGTAGGTATTGTGTATTATGAGGTTCAATGATTTTTTTTATTTTATTTTTTGTTACATGTTTTAATTATTTAATTTCAGTTGCTTTCTCATGGTATTTTTTCTGTGCAGGTAGTTGACAGTGGTGCCTTGGAACATGTTACAAGAACTCTGTGTGGTAGCGGTGCTAGTGTTGGCTCCTGCACCGTTAAGCTTGCAGCTGCAAGATGGCCCTATATCACTTCAGTTGAGGCTCTCTCCAGCTCAGTGGCCCTCAGTTTCATCAACACCAATGGGGAAAATATCTACCAACGTCCGTGAGTTCTCCAAAAGCTTTCATATAATTCTCATGTTGAAATAATTCCAACTAATCATGGTTAGCACTTTTGGTGCTGATTAAAATGTTGAATGATTAATGATTAAATGTTAAATGATTAAATGATTGGCGTGATTAAAATGTTAACTTTTGAATTATATGTTGATCATGATTTTCTTGAGAGTTCTTTGATATAATTACCAAAAATTTATATTCATGTTTCACAAGTCTTGATTAAAAAAATTTCTTTATTAACTTTAGGTGATTACTTGATGCTGTCTAAACAAATTTCAGCAGAACTATACACATCTGAAATGGAATAATTTCCAAGATTAATAATTTTTTGCTTCAAAATGAAACAGATTTTCTTTTTTGTGCATCAAATCATAGTTTCAAATTTCATTATCTAACTCCTTTTATTAGAAGCATGTGAAAATGATAAAAAAATCACTTGGTATTTATAAGTACCGGTACTAGGCCAAGAGAAAAAAATTCCTTCTTATCATTAAATTTTTGAAATCTACAGTTCTTGCCTTAAAATTATTCTCAACAGCTATTTATGAATACCCGCAATATAGGTTTTTACAATTTTTGATCTAATGTTCAGGTTGTTGATGTGCTCTACTCCACTGTCCCTGTCAATATTGGAAGCAGCGTTTGCTTCAGACCCAATAGGCACAGGCAGCAGTGTGCCCACTCCCTCCGACAAACTCAACCTCCTCACCGCTCTTGCTGTAGCTCCAGGATTTGCTGTGCAAAAGGTGCCCCTGTTATTTTCATTATGTGGGGGCAAAAAATTTGCATGACACTCAAGTGAATACAAGTAAAATTGTTATGGCAAAAGCTTCAATTTGAATTCAATCTCAAAATAAATTCAATTTTTAATTTATTTCAAATTCAAAAAGCTTCAAAAATGTGGAAAAGAATTTGAAATGTTAGCAATAGGTACCTACATTTCACGGTTTCACCAAGTAGAAAATGTTGGTTTTCATTACTATAAACTACTACTTCTCAAGTGCACAAGAAGCTGCCACACACCAGCATGCTGCTCATTTACCAAAGAAACATGAATTAATGTTTTGCAGATGACAGAGCGCTTACAGCTGAGCCCCTCGTCAGTAGGAGCGCTGGGGGCGTGTGGGCGAGCGTGGCTCAGCGGCCGCGAGAAACTCACGCCTCTTGTGGACCTCCTCGACGACACCTGGAGCGCTCGAGCCGCACTGGGGGCTCAGCTGCTCGGCATGGTCGAGGATATGCTTGTGGGTTAAGAAGTTTTTAACCTCGATTGTGAATCTGATGATTTTTTTGTGCATTCATGTTGCATATTGAGAACATTTATAAATTGGCTCAAGTGGTTTACCACTCACCGCGGAACGAAACTTTCCTAGAAAACTGCTAAGTCTCTAATTTGTTTCTCTGCATACTGATTTATGATTTTTTTTAGTTCGTTGTAGTACTGCCTTTCAGCTGAAAATCTTTTGAAATATTCTGGTCTGGTTCAGCTTTTTTGTATTGAAATGCTTGCCTGTGCTCAGTGGTATTTTTATTATCATGTTACTAATTATCAGACGTTTTCATTGTTTGGTGAGATCAACATTTCATATTATATTCCAATTTATTTTCTTATGAACCATCACTGAAGCTCTTTGATATATCAACGACCCATATATATACTCGTTCATTCTCTAGAGCTTTCTATTATTCACTCTGCATTATCTGTTGTAGGTATTATAAACAAATTCGTTTGCTGTCGTACTTTTAAAGAAACTTAGTTCTGTCTTTTTTTTATTTGTTTGCTTTGTCAAGATCTGATTTATGACATTTTCAGTTGATATATCATGTGTGTTTCATGCCATTTATTTATCCGTAATTGATAGCTGAGCGCCTCCTGAATGGTTACATTGCAGGAGAGCTCGGAGGAGTGGCTGGTGTTCGTAAGCCTGTGGTCGCTAGAGAGGCTCATGGTTTATCGCTACAATCCCCGTCACACAGCCTTGAGAGGCTCATGATGTTTACCGTTTATCCGGAATTGATACCTGAGCGCCTTCTGAATGGTTACATTGCAGGAAAGCTCGGATGAGTGGCTGGTGTTTGTAAGCCTGTGGTCGCCAGAGAGACTCATGGTGGCGGCTGACGGCGAGCTTCTGCTGCGCGACTCTGCCTCCGTCGCCATCATCGACAAGGGCGCCCTCAGCATGGGCGCCTCCGGTGAATATTTCAGTAGAGTGGTAAAGGCCCACCTAGAGGTCCTGCCTCATTATTATAAGTGCTGAAATAGCTACTCAATTCAATTGTTTCCTTTTGTGATTTGTATTGCATTTGTAGTTTGTAATGTCCTGGTATGCGATAGATTGAAAAAATTTAATTTTTACTAAAAAATGTATATCCTTCCCTAGACTTTTTTGAAATTTTTATGGTTTGATAGGCGAGTACGGCACCGAAGAGGACCTCAATACGCTGGGGCGGGTCTGCAACAGCAAATGCTTCAGTGAACTCTTTGCACTGATTATGGCTGACAGCCATGTTCCCTCAACGGCTAAACCGCAGCCATCCTCCAGCCATCGAGACACAAACAGTATCCCCAACAAGCCTAGTCTTGATAAAACTATATACAACAACCGGAGAAAACAGCAGCAGAGTTTCAAAGAAGACTTTGTGGAGCGAAGATACACGGGCAGTCGGTCGTTAGCTGTTGCGCCGAGTGTTGCTCACACGTGCGCGCACGAGGATCTTTTTGCTCACTTCATGTACGCCAGCGCTTGTGCTTTCGTCCTCAGCGATGATCCGCAGCATCACGGCATGAATTTCTTCCCGGAGCTGCAGGGGCGCCGTAGCTCGCAAGTTAAAGGTTGGTAAGATTATTCATTGATAAACATGATAGACCTAATTCCATTCATTTTTATTTGTTTAAACTTATTCATTGCGAGTTGAAAGTATACTGGGTCCTACCTTAAGGCTACCACCCCAGACGAGACGCACGCTGGAAGTTTCACTTCACAGTGCAGATGAAGCGGACGATCAAAAGTGAAGATATGGCGTCGCTGGCAGTCGTAAAGAATGTGACTGGTGGGCTCTGGACCTGTGGTGGAAGCTGGAGCAAACTTTAATTTTCATATTTAGAGATGAGAATGATGAGGGTTGCTAACACCGAGTTAACGTACCAGAAATGTTGGAAACTGTAGCCGGCTACTAAATTATGAATAACTCAAACCAAAATGATAATTGCCTTTCAACTGGAATTATCTTATAAAAGATAATTTTCTACAATTGATTACATGAAGTAAACCCCATTAGGTCTTGCTGCAGAATCGGCATCACATTTTTCAACCTCGCATTTTATTATCTGACTATCAAAGTTCCACATTCGATACCTCAATAGATAACAATTTGATCATAATTCCGAAGTGAAGCTCTTGAAGATAATATAAAATGTTCATATTATTTATGATGCCAGGTCTGCTTCACTCGGCGCCCCAGGACGTGGCGGTGCACATGGCGCAGCTGCTGCAGGCGTGCGTGCACGAGACGAGCGGCGGGGAGCGACTACGCGCTGTAGAGGAGCTCAAGGACTCTTGAATATTTAAAAATACTATTTTTTATGATTGAAATAAGATTGAAACCACAACGTGCTGTGAACGTCTTGTAGCATAGGGCCACCGTGAACTCCTGTCCTATTCGCAACAATAATTTCATTTAAAATTAAGCAGTTCCTTTAATTAGTACATATGTCTTTATTTGACATTTACTCCTAGGATTACATTCTCGGTGCCACACGTAACGTATCGCGATTCCACCTAAGTTTTCAAATTTGAATTTTCGTTTCCCTGTTACAAGTCGTGGAATTTCGAACGGATCAATTTTAGGTTATACACATAAATTCTTTTTGTAATACTCAACGACGTCGTAATTTGTCTCTCTGTACATTAGAATTAAGTAAATCTACGTCTAACGTAGCGCAATTCTCAAGTCTGTATCATAGATCTTCTGTTCAGAATCTCAGCAATTTACCGAGATCTGTGGCATTTCTCTCTTCTTAATCTTATGCCACCTTTTAGTTAGATGTTTGTTAAGGTATGTAATGGTTTTGATTATTTTAAGGTACATGTATATTGCCTCGTTTTGACATATTCAATTTGTTGTTTTAGAAATCTGGCATAATAACAGAATTTCAATTATTCTGGATCTTATGGCGTTTTAGTTCATGAAAGTGTCAATATTTAATAATTTTATTTAATAATCTGCCGTCTACTCGTTCGTAGACGGCAGAAAGTCGCCAGTTTTGCTTCTAATAGAAAATTTTGTTGACAATAATTCAGTAAAATATGAAGCATCCTAGAAAGTTACCAAAAATATTGATTGATCGAATTCCTTTAAGTTCTTGTTGCTAATTTCGCGTTGAATTGTTGATATGTAGAGTTGATTGATGCGTACTCCCGCTCATTAGTGCCTAAACCTCCCGCATATTAAATGAAATAACTTGATGCCATCAATAAATTAAACAAGACGTGTGCCATTATGTTCAGCAGATAATATCGCTTGAACGGCTGCTGTCATGAAAAGGACTGTGTTATATGTCACTAAAGGACTTGCCATTTGCGTGCTAACTGCAATAACTTGACAACGTCGATCCGCACGACTATTTATCTTCAGTTTAGTTATTACCCGTTTCGCTAGTATAGCTTTTGCCATGAGTAGGATTGTCTTATCCCAAGCAACTTCTTGCATCTGCAGTTTTACCTGAAGCGTGTCTGTTGCTATGGTTTAAAGTCCGCTCCAGCTTTGTGGCTGGAATCGTACTTTCTTCTAGGGTTGTTGGCGTCTCTCTTGCCACAAATGTGAATGTTGTTTTTCACATTTAATTTCTCATTCTTGTTTTAAATTATTTCAAGAAATTGTCTCTAAATTATTAACAGTAAAGTTTACGAACAAGCAGAGCTTCATAGTGCCTCATTTCAGTACATGAATGGAGCATTCGATTTTATCTGAACAGGTCTTGCACGGAAATGAGTCCATTAGTCAGTAACTCGGTTAGGACAATATTTGAAGATAATGTATTCTCGCTAAATATTTTTCATAAAATATGTACTAGGATGTCTCAAGCGACACAAAAATCAACTACATCCGAGTTTGGTTTGTGAAAATTTTCAATTTTATAGCTTAATTTTTATCAAGACCATCGTCGGAAACGCCGCGTAGTTTTGGCTCCTTGTCATGTGAGGATTTTTGCTATTGCCTTTCTGTGTCCGACTGTTGTAATCAAAGCCTGGATTCTCGTAATATTATTTCTTACAGGAATAAGGCTATATTTTGTCATGAAAATTTAATTACTATATTTAAACTTGTACGCACGCTCAACTCGATACGCTTCCTATTCCTTTAATCTAATTTTTATTTAGGTCTTCACCCCATCCATCCAGATGAGGAATGGCGGGCGCTTTCTCCTCGAAAACCTAATATTGATATTTTTTAATTTTTACTAATTTCTGACAGACTCTAAGTTGGAATCGTCCTCTAAGTTTAATTGTCACAAGATTGGGAAACTCTCACCTGCGCTCAGGTCTCGCACTTTCCTACATCCCAGTCGTATCTGTATAGGCCAGTGGTTCGCTAAGTAGGCGAAATCGCCCCCCCCCCTAGGGGCGATGGAAAGATTTTGGGAGGGCGGTAAGGAAGAAGAGGGCGGTAGGGGGCGGTAGTCCGAAGTCCATGTCAGAAGTTCGAACGTTTGTTTGACGATTTGTACACAACACGTGCAGCACATGACTCCCAACGATGGTTTTGTCACCCAGATCTGTTTTTTTAACCTCTCCTGGGTTTACGTCTCGGACAAATTAACGTCCGGACTCGCGGCTGGTCTCACGGCCAATTTCCAAATTCAATGATCAAGGAAAATCTCTGAAACTAATGAACTTAACTCGATGAAACTTACCGTAGTACACGTATTCATTAGGACCTAACGATGATGTTTAGCTTGTGAAAATTGTTTGAATTTTGCCATCGTTTGTTTTTGCCATATTTATATGGCAATACGGGCCCAAATTCTCAGTGATAAAGTAATTTCTTAAAAACTACTGAACAGATTCGAACGAAATTTTGAATTTGCAGTCCTAACTACCGAAAGGTAATGTTTAGCTCAGGAAAATTTTTTCCATTGTGCCTTCGTTCGCGAGTTTTTTTTTTTCATTTCACCTTCATTCGGTATTTAAACAGCAATACGTGTTTAAATTCGCGGTATTCAAGAAAGTTTTTCCAAACTGCTGAACAGATTTGAACGGTACTTAGTATTTAAATAAATAACCTCAGCAACGGTCATGTTTAGCTCGTTACAATTTTTTCGTTTCACCTTCGTTTGCGAAATATACGGCTATACGTATACGGCTCTACGTAAACGGCTCTTGGTTAAACCGGCCGGTAGAAAAGCCGGTCGTCCCTCCTATATCTGTATAACTCGCGAACGAAAGCAAAATAAAACAATTGTCACAAGCTGAACATCACCGTTGAGAGGTAAGGTAATTATATACAAAGTTTCGTTGAAATCTGTTCTGTAGTTTAGAAGAAATTTTTGATCGCCGCGAATTTAAGTGACAAATTACCCGGCGATATGGGCCGAATATAAGGAAGTATGAAATCAAGAATGACGGTGAAATGAAAAAAAAAACTCGCAAACGAAGGTAAAATAAAAAATTTATAAGCTAAAAAATCACCATTTGGTAGTTAGGAATGTATATTCAAAATTTCGTTCAAATCTGTTCAATAGTTTGAAAGAATTCTTCGATCACTGCGAATTTCGGCTTGTTTCGCAATATACGCGTAACTCCCGAATGAAGGTGAAATTAAAAAAAATTACGAGCTAAACATCACCGTTAGGTTCTGATGAATACGTGTTCAAGTTTCGCAGAGTTGCGTTCATTAGTTTGGGAGATATTACTTGATAATTGAATTTGGAGATTGGTCGTGAGACCGGCCACGATTCCGGCCATAAATTCTCCCGAGACTTCCTAGGTTTCTGGTGCTGAAACAGTTAAAACATCTGAAAAACATATTGGTTCACTAAATGGGGTTCTATTTGTGAAATACACATTTGCGTTTAACCTTTCTCTTTTAAAATTGCAGCGTACAAGATTTCAAGAAAGAGGCGTATTTCTGTGGGGGGCGCTAAAAATTCACAGGGGAGCCAAAGGGGGCGCCAGCCTGAAAAAGTTTGGGAACCACTGGTAAAGCGATGCTACGTTGTTCTACATTATGCGAATCCTCAATGCAAACATTCCCATTACCGTAACCTGACATGGGAATTCAGCTGACGGATGTATTCCTTTCTGATCAATTCCCTCTTACTTGTAAATGTCACAACTTGCTTTGAACAAACGGCGTCCGCTTGAATGTATTTTTCAACTTAAAATTAATTTGGGCAAAGAAAAGTTTACCATTGATTTCATGGTTAGAACGAACATTTTGCTGACTGTTAGAAGAGCACGCGATGTGTACTGAACGTGTCCTTTATTATGACACCCATTTTTAATATGCAAACGCCTTGCACGCATGTATCGTTCAGTAGTCACTCAGAGAAACAATGCTCCTTAGGCGTAAGGTTTATCATGCATCATAGATACTCAGCTTCATGTGTATTTCTATGCCACGTCTGCTTCTAGTGCGCGAGGGCACACACACAACTTTTTTTAGAACATTTTATGTTAACAAACTATCGACAACACGCCTTTCATGAAGTCTTACTAATGGATTACGCTTCTCTGTAGAAGCAGTTACGTATTTAGTGTGGTTATAGGGAATGTAATTAGTTTTCATTGATGCGCAGAGAACACACAAAACAGTTTATTATCGCATCCGAGGCGTCGTTCGGTTAGCTTTGCTATGAAATTAATTGCACTGGGTAAATGAAACTAAACGAACACTCTTGACACGTCGTGTTGATAAGTAGAAAAAATCGTAAGAAATTCATTCCACTCTTTCGCAGTTAAACAGCGTTACATCACAGACACTAAGGACGAACTTATTTGGTTACTTTTCTGAAAACTAAAGGAAGGTTAATCAGTCTATTAGCCCAAGAAGTAATCAAATGAAACATAAGAAAGAGGTTTGCATTAAAAAACTGTCTATAAAGCGATTACGCTGAAGTACCCAAACATGATATTAGGTTCTTTAAAACCACTCATCACTCGAAATACCGTACTGCGTCAGGGAGGAAGCGTTGATATGCACGTCTATCCTCGAGCTGGATACATCTAAGTATTCGCTAAGAGCCCGTTTTTGACAACTGAAGGCAACCTATTAAAAATGACATAAATACCATAGAAATAAACAATCACCTCTGAACCAAACAGCAGGTGAGACTCGAGGAGCTCAAACGCTCTGACTCGATGGATCGAGTGTGAGATGCGCGAAAAAACTTCACAGTATAATTAAAGAGGGAAATTAAATTAATATTAAAAATAAATTATGCGAGTTGAATGATTCAAAAGACAGGTTCAGTTGCATTGAAGCTCAAACTTATATTCAGTCAACAATAAATCAACGTGCGGAAATGAAATTACTGAAGCAGGCAAAATTGAGAAAGAAAGTCGACAAGCTGTACTTATTTCAAAATCAATAAAATAATACTGACGAAACCAAAGTTTGAAAAAAGTAATAAAACCCTATTCGTGAAAATGTTCCTAAGCCAAAATCGTACATCCGTTGAAGGCAGAACAAGTTCGAGAGCTGGATGAGCACGTTGCTAGACGCTCCTACCGATGAGGGACCTGGAAAACATAGCATGGCGTTAGCATGCATGGTCACTTCTAATGCGGTAAATAAAATGAAGCATTTTTAATCATTACACTCGAATAATTCATTTTAATTGTTACTTTGTTTCTCCTACTTCTCATTTTACTTTGAAGAATAAAATTGAGAGCTAAACAATACAGCACAGCCTTTTGTTAAAATAATAGCAAATATTATGACTCGGTCAACTGTTTCTTGAAGGATTCAACACTCGCGAACTCAAGTTCTAATCTCATACACAACCCATGATTGCACTGGGTACCCTCTTGTTGTCTTTATTTCCGATATATATAAGCCCTACGCCATCTGGGCATAGGGTAGTGTTATTATATATCAGTATATTTTATGTTCTCATTTTTGAGATAACCGTTGGTTATGACAAGTGGTGCGTTGTTTGTACATACACACTCATATTATTCAAGACTTCCAGTAACATTACACAAGACTAACAGAAGAGTTGACTAACCCTCATGCCTGCTGCTGTTGCTGCAGCCACTTGTCGTACTTTTTCCTGTAGGCTTCCTGCAGCTTGGCCAGTTTCTTGCCCTGGCTCTTGGTGATCTCCTCGCCCTTAGCGTCATGTGTCGGTATGCCCGTAGTACCGTCCCATGCACTGTACTCTGCAGTACGGAACATCTCTTCCGGAGGCTGTAATAGAAGACTGCTTAACAGAGAAGAAACACTAGACAAATTTGTTGACCCGGAGGCTGTAATAGAAGACTGCTTAACAGAGAAGAAACACTAGACAATTTTGTTGACCCGGAGGCTGTAATAGAAGACTGCTTAACACAAACGAAACACTAGACAAATTTGTTGACGAATAAAATATCCTCGTAAATACATCAATAAGAAGACGCACAAGCTAGTCTTGTCCATTAACCGGTAGAAGTGTAGTGAGTGGAAGGCTTACTCTTTTTAAAATCGGAAATTTCTTCACTTTCACAGTAGGAAGTTTTTTATTACTCATAGATCTAAAAATTAAAAATTAACTGATAAGAATAAAAAATCGAGAGCCCACCTCCATGACTTTAGCTTTCTCTTGAGCAGCCTTGGCATCTGCAGCTTGTTTTTTCTTCTGCTTTTCCATTCGCTTTTCCTCCTCAGCAGCTTTCTTGGCCGCTATCTCTTTCTTGAGCTCCTCAGGGTCTACAATTTTAATAGAGGGCGCCCTGCCCTCCCTGTCCTCGAGACGCACACCCAAGGGAGGCAGCAAAGAGTCCCGGATGTCATCGCAGAGCTGCAGCTGCTTCATCTGCAGCTCCTTCACATCCGTTGAAGGCTCTCGGGACAACCCGCGTAACTTTTCCCGCAAGTCCGCAACCACTTGACACAGCGGAAGTAGGACGTCGTCGCTCTAAGAGGCGCAACAAAGATGTCTGATATGCATATAAATACTATATATTTTGAATAAAATGTAGAGACCAGGTGGAACTGGAGATAATTTAATGAATAGAAATTATATATATAAGTTCAGTACCATCAATAAAGAGGCTCAATTATTAAAAATGCAAACAACACCAATTTAAAACAGTCTAATCACTTAAACTTGACTAAAACGAGTGAATAACCAACGCACACCATGTACATGTATTTATTTGAGTTTTATTTTGGGGGTAAATCCAAAACTCAGATTAGTCAAGCCTAAGATCACTTCCGATCACGACGTCTAAAAAGAACTAAGAAGGAAGATTTTTTGTAAGAAGAAGGGCGAGTGCAGATAAGAACTCACTTGACTGCCGTCCGCGCCAGCAGAAGAAAGCGTCACACCAAAGACGCCCAATATGCGCGACACGTAGCTGCTGATGTTCCACACAAGCTGTCCGTTCAACTGCAACCAAAAGTAAGCTCAGAATGACTTTTTTGCCAAAATGATTAGCTAAATTAGGATACATTCATTTTAGGGTTGGAAAAAATATGTTTTCAAATTATCCGTTAGTTAGTTATTTTTGAGTGCTAACCTCATTCTTGGAGTTGATGTATTTGTTGGCATCAGAGACGAGCTCTCTGAGCTGCTCCAGGGCGGTTCTTGTATCTATGCTGTCACAGAGCGCCTCGTGTACAGATATCCTGCAACGAATACAAATATTCTGGAATTCTATAATTTGGTAATGCGAGGTGAAATCTAATAATAATTACGCTTTTGGATGTCATGTCAATAGTAGGACATGAGGTATAAATAGTAATAGTACATGCAAAGCATGAGGCTATAACAGCAGGAAAAAGCAAGTCATGTTAAAAAATATCCTGTCAAGCAGCTGAATTTCAATTTAGTTCACTCAGTGCTGACTTGACACACGTCTGTAGGATTAGAATCGTGGTGAAAATAATGAAATGTTCATAGCATATGCAAACTAAAAAACACATTTACCAACTAGAAGGAGATTAAAATTCTGCCATGCGAAATTCTTTTGTGGTTATTAATCCATTAAATTACTTCTACCTTCTCTTGAAACAATCTGATTTGCCTAAATCGTAGCTAATATTGAATTCATGTTGAATGACTTCCATGCCTCAGGAATGACCAGGTTGTAGGTTAGATTTCGACCCACGCAATGCCTGGTCGCGACCTACACAATGTCTCGTTATGAACCATGCAATACGTACCAGGTNGTATTGCATGGTTCATAACGAGACATTGCGTAGGTCGCGACCAGGCATTGCATGGGTCATAACCAGGTACGTATTGCATGGTTCATAACGAGACATTGCGTAGGTCGGGACCAGGCATGGCATGGGTCATAACCTGGTACGTATTGCATGGTTCATAACGAGAAATTGTGTAGGTCGTGACCACCAAGCATTGCGTGGGTCAAAATCTTACCCACAACCTGGTCATTCCTGAGGCATGTAAGTCATTCAACGCGAATTCAATGTTAGCTACGATTTAAGCAAATTAGATTGTTTCAAGAGAAATTAGAAGTAATTTAATGGATTAATAACCACAAAAGAATTTCGCATGGCAGAATTTTAATCTCCTTTTAGTTGGTAAATATGTTTTTCAGTTTGCATATGCTATGAACATTTTATTATTTTCTCGATGATCCTAGCCCTACAGACGTGTGTCAAGTCAGCACTGAGTGAACTGAATTGAAATTCAGCTGCTTGACAGGATATTTTTTAACATGACTTGCTTTTTCCTGCTGTTGCAACCTCATGCTTTGCATGTACTATTACTATTTACACGTCATGTCCTACTATTGATATGACATCCAAAAGCGTAATTATTATTAGATTTCACCTCGCATTACCAAATTATAGAATTCCAGAATATTTGTATTCGTTGCAGGATATCTGTACACGAGGCGCTCTGTGACAGCATAGATACAAGAACCGCCCTTGAGCAGCTCAGAGAGCTCGTCTCTGATGCCAACAAATACATCAACTCCAAGAATGAGGTTAGCACACAAAAATAACTAACCATTATGCCGTTATCATTTTAAATTTTCATTGATCTTGTAAAATGATGCTTCAGTTAGATTATTGAAATTGAACCCTGTAATTGGAATGTTTCATTAAAAGGCTATGCACATAAATGTTCTTATTCTTATGGTATAAACTTGTAACTAATTTAGGTAAAGTAATTAAAAAATTGGTAAATTGGTAATAAATTTTGAATATAACATAGGGGGTCGGATAATTTGAAAACATATTTTTTGCGACCCTTAAATGAACGTATCCTAATTTAGCCAATCATTTTGGCAAAAAAGTCATTCTGAGCTTACTTTTGGTTGCAGTTGAACGGACAGCTTGTGTGGAACATCAGCAGCTGCGTGTCGCGCATATTGGGCGTCTTTGGTGTGACGCTTTCTTCTGCTGGCGCGGACGGCAGTCAAGTGAGTTCTTATCTGCACTCGCCCTTCTTCTTACGAAAAATCTTCCATTTTTTTGACTGCGGGATCGGAAGTGATCTAAGGCTTGACTAATCTGAGTTTTGGATTTATCCAAGATAAAACTCAAATAAATACATGGTGTGCAATGGTTATTCACTCGTTATAATCAAGTTTAAGTGATTAGACTGTTTGAAATTGGTGTAGGGAGCATTTTTATCAATTGAGCCTCGTTATTGATGGAACTGATATATGTATATCATTTCTATTCATTAATTATCTCCTGTTCCGTCTGATCTCAACATTTTATTCAAAATATGTAGTATTTATATGCATAACAGACATCTTTGTTGTGCCTCTTAGAGCGACGACGTCCTACTTCCGCTGTGTCAAGTGGTTGCGGACTTGCGGGAAAAGTTACGCGGGTTGTCCCGAGAGCCTTCAACGGATGTGAAGGAGCTGCAGATGAAGCAGCTGCAGCTCTGCGATGACATCCGGGACTCTTTGCTGCCTCCCTTGGGTGTGCGTCTCGAGGACAGTGAGGGCAGGGCGCCCTCTATTAAAATTGTAGACCCTAAGGAGCTCAAGAAAGAGATAGCGGCCAAGAAAGCTGCTGAGGAGGAAAAGCGAATGGAAAAGCAGAAGAAAAAACAAGCTGCTGATGCTAAAGCTGCTCAAGAGAAAGCTAAAGTCATGGAGGTGGGCTCTCGATTTTTTATTCTTTTCAGTTATTTATTAGTTTTTAGATTTATCATTAATAAAAAACTTCCTGCTGTAAAATAAACTGATGGAATTTCCGATTTTAAAAAAAGTAAGTCTTCCACTCACTACACTTCTACAGGTTAATGGGCAAGACTAGCATGTGCGTCTTTTTATTGATGTATTTACGAAAAAAGTTCATTTATCGACAAATTTGTGTAGTGTTTGGTATGTGATAAGCAGTCTTCTATTACAGCCTCCGGGTCAACAAATTTGTCTAGTGTTTGGTTTGTGTTAAGCAGTCTTTTTCTTATGTTTCATTTGATTACTTCTTGGGCTAATAGACTGATTAATCTTCCTTTAGTCTTCAGAGAAGTAGCCAAATAAGTTCATCCTTAGTGCCTGTGATGTAACGCTGTTTAACTGCGAAAGAGTGGAATGAATTTCTTACGATTTTTTCTACTTATCAACACAACATGTCAATAGTGTTCGTTTAGTTTCATTTACCCAGTGCAATTAATTTCATAGCAAAGCTAACCGAACGACACCTCGGATGCGAAAATATTCTATTTGTATATTCTCCGCGCATCAATGAAAACTAATCACATTCCCTGTAACCGCACTAAATAAATGCTTCTACAGAGAGCGTAATCCATTAGTAAGACTTCATGAAAGGCGTGTTGTCGATAGTTTGTTAACATAAAATGTTCTAAAAAAGTTGAGTGTGTGCCCTCGCGCACTAGAAGCTGACGTGGCATAGAAATACACATGAAGCTGAGTATCTATGATGCATGAGAAACCTTAACCTAAGGAGCATTGTTTCTTTGAGTGACTACTGAACGATACATGCGTGCAAGGCGTTTGCATATTAAAAATGGGTATCATTTGATGTTTAAATGAAGGATCATAATGAAGGACACGTTCAGTACACATCGTATGCTCTTCTAACAGTGAGCAAAATGTTGTTCTAATAATGAAATCAATGGTATGTATACTTTTCTTTGCCAACTTAATATAAATTTGAAAAAAATACATGTAAGCGGACGCCGTTTGTTCAAAGCAAGTTGCGACATCTACAAATGAGAAGTAATTGATTAGGAAGCAAGGCGTTAGGTTACAATAATGGTAAAGTTTGCATTGAGGATTCACTTAATGCAGAATAACGTAGCATCGCCTATACGGATACGACTGGGATGTAGGAAAGTGCAAGACCCGAGCGCAAGTGCGAGTTCCCCAATCTTGTGACTATTAAACTCAAAGATGATTCCAATATAACTCAAAGTCTTCCAGCAATTAGTAAGAATTTCAAATGTCAATATTAGGTTTTCGAGGAGAGAGCTCCTGACATTCCTCATCTGGATGGATGGGGTGAAAATCTATATAAAAATTGGATTGAATCATTAGAAAGCGTATCGAGTTGAGCGTACGTACGAGTTATAATGTAGTAATTGAATTGCCATGACAAAAAAATAGCCTTATTCCTGTAAGAAATAATATTACGAGAATCCAGGCTTTGATTACAACAGTCAAACACAAACAGAAAGCCAATAACAAAAGTCTTCACTTGACAAGGAGCCAAAGCGTTACCGACGATGGTTTCGATAAATAAATAAGCTATAAATTTGAAAATTTTGACAAATCAAACTCGGCTGTATTCGATTTTTGTGTCGCTTGAGACATCCAAGTACATATTTTGTAAAAATATTTAGCGAGAATACGTTATCTTTAAATAATGTCCTTAAGGAGTTACTGCTACAATAAAAAAGAAACTATACTGCTAATAAAAATAAATTATGCATACTTTAAGAGACAATTTCTTAAAATAATTTAAAACAAGAATGAGAAATTAAATGTAATAAACAAACATTCAACATATGTGGCAAGACAGAAAAGCCAACAACCCTAGATGAAAGTACGATTCCAGCCACAAAGCTGGAGCGGACTTTAAACCATAGCAACAGACAAGCTTCAGGTAAAACTGCAGATGCAAGAGGTTGCTTGGGATAACAATCCTACTCATGACAACAGTCATACCAGCGAAACAGGTAATAACTAAACTGAAGATAAATAGTCGTGCGGATCGACGTTGTCAAGTTATTGCAGTTAGCACGCAAATGGCAAGTCCTTTAGTGACATATAACACAGTCCTTATCATGACCGCAGCCGTTCAAGCGATATCATCCGCTGAACATAATGGCACTCGTCTTGTTTAATTTATTGATGGCATCAAGTTTTTTCATTTAATATGCAGGAGGTTTAGGTACTAATGAGCGGGTGTCGTGATGGTTGTAGCAGCTACGCACCAACACTACATACCAACAATTCAACGCGAAATTAGCGACATGAACTTAAAGGAATTTGATATCATTATTTTTGGTAACTTTTCAGGAAGTTTCATATTTTACTGAATTATTGTCAACAAAATCTTCTATTAGAAGCAAAACTGACGACTCTCTGATGACTACGAATGAGTATATTATACACATGAATATCAATTCTACATTTCTGATATTAAAATTATTAAATATCGACACTTTCATGAACTAAAACGCCATAAGATCCAGAATAATTGAAATTCTGTTATTATGCCACATTTCTAAAACAACAAATTGAATATGTCAAAACGAGGCAATATAAATGTACCCTAAAATGATCAAAACCATTACATACCTATAACAAACATCTAACTAAAAGGTGGCATAAGATTAAGAAGAGAGAAATGCCACAGATCTCGGTAAATTGCTGAGATTCTGAACAGAAGATCTATGATACAGACTTGAGAATTGCGCTACGTTAAACGTAGATTAACTTAATTCTAATGTACAGAGAGACAAATTACGACGTCGTTGAGTATTACAAAAAGAATTTATGTGTAACCTAAAATTGATCCGTTCGAAATTCCACGACTTCTAACAGGGAAACGAAAAGTCAAATTTGTAAACTGTGGTGGAATCGCGATACGTGTAGCACCGAGAATGTAATGCACAATAGGATCATAGAAATCCTATAGGAGTAAAGAGATGTCAAATAAACACAGATGCACTAATTAAAGGAACTGCTTAATTTTAAATGAAACTATTGTTGCGAATAGGACAGGAGTTCACGGTGGCCCTAGGCTACAAGACGTTCACAGCACGTTGTGGTTTCAATCTTACTTCAATAATAAAAAATAGTATTTTTAAATATTCAAGTTACGAAGCATACTACCTCATTGTGGGTGGAGGATACATCATTACATTACATGCATTACACACGGAGATGCATCATTATAAATACTTGGCACTAGAATTTGGCACAGAATTTCACCAGAAAAATAACTTGGTGCTCCACAAGTCTCATTCTGCAACGAAATAGCCGATCAGGCTGATGCGTGTGAGGACGTTAGGGGATAAGATATTTGGGGGACATGTCGGGACTTGAAGTCCGGGGAGCTAACATATCACAATTAAATATGCATTGATTAATTTACAATTGTCTGCTTTAAATTGGACTTCCGAAAACTTCATTAACAAATATTTTTGGCAGGTAAATTCTTTTCATCTTAATCATCAAGCCGTAGAGAGTTGTTGTTCAAAGCTGATTGAAACGGCCCCATTACTCAATGCAAGCTCTACACACACACATACTAAACGACTCACAACGTCTTGTGTTTACGTTCATAATCATAAATTAGACCAGCAATTGCACCTCCGGCTCTTACTCTATCAGCTGCAGGCTCTTCGCCGTTCGACTTCTCGCCTTCGGAGTACTCGTCTTCGTAATCAACGTCTTCATCTTCAAGGCCGCCCTCTTCGGCCAGCAGGTCCTTGAGCTCCTCCACAGCGCGTAGTCGCTCCCCCCCGCTCGTCTCGTGCACGCACGCCTGCAGCAGCTGCGCCATGTGCACCGCCACGTCCTGGGGCGCCGAGTGAAGCAGACCTGGCATCATAAATAATATGAACATTTTATGTTATCTTCAAGAGCTTCACTTCGGAATTATGATCAAATTGTTATCTATTGAGGTATCGAATGTGGAACTTTGATAGTCAGTTATTAAAATGCAAAGTTGAAAAATGTGGTGCCGATTCTGAAGCAAGACCTAATGGGGTTTACTTCACGTGATCAATTGTAGAAAAAGTTTATCTTTTATAAGATAATTCCGGTTGGAAGGCAATTATCATTTTGGTTTGAGTTATTCATAATTTAGTAGCCGGCTACAGTTTCCAACATTTCTGGTACGTTAACTCGGTGTTAGCAACCCTCATCATTCTCATCTCTAAATATGAAAATTAAAGTTTGCTCCAGCTTCCACCACAGGTCCAGAGCCCACCAGTCACATTCTTTACGACTGCCAGCGACGCCATATCTTCACTTTTGATCGTCCGCTTCATCTGCACTGTGAAGTGAAACTTCCAGCGTGCGTCTCGTCTGGCGTGGTAGCCTTAAGGTAGGACCCAGTATACTTTCAACTCGCAATGAATAAGTTTAAACAAATAAAAATGAATGGAATTAGGTCTATCATGTTTATCAATGAATAATCTTACCAACCTTTAACTTGCGAGCTACGGCGCCCCTGCAGCTCCGGGAAGAAATTCATGCCGTGATGCTGCGGATCATCGCTGAGGACGAAAGCACAAGCGCTGGCGTACATGAAGTGAGCAAAAAGATCCTCGTGCGCGCACGTGTGAGCAACACTCGGCGCAACAGCTAACGACCGACTGCCCGTGTATCTTCGCTCCACAAAGTCTTCTTTGAAACTCTGCTGCTGTTTTCTCCTGTTGTTGTATATAGTTTTATCAAGACTAGGCTTGTTGGGGATACTGTTTGTGTCTCGATGGCTGGAGGATGGCTGCGGTTTAGCCGTTGAGGGAATATGGCTGTCAGCCATAATCAGTGCAAAGAGTTCACTGAAGCATTTGCCTTTACAGACCCGCCCAGCGTATTGAGGTCCTCTTCGGTGCCGTACTCGCCTATCAAACCATTAACATTTTTAAAAAGTATAGGGAAGGATATACATTTTTTAGTAAAAATTATTGTTTTCAATCTATCGCATACCAGGACATTACAAACTACAAATGCAATACAAATCACAAAAGGAAACAATTGAATTGAGTAGCTATTTCACAACTTATAATAATGAGGCAGGACCGCCAGTCAACCGCCTACTCTCTACTGCAATATTCACCGGAGACGCCCATGCTGAGGGCGCCCTTGTCGATGATGGCGACGGAGGCAGAGTCGCGCAGCAGAAGCTCGCCGTCAGCCGCCACCATGAGTCTCTCTAGCGACCACAGGCTTACAAACACCAGCCACTCCTCCGAGCTCTCCTGCAATGTGTAACCATTCAGAAGGCGCTCAGTAATCAATTCCGGATAAATAAAGGACATAAAGCACACATGATATATCAACTGAAAATGTCATAAATCAAATCTTTGAGAAAGCAAACAAATAAAAAAAGACAGAACTAAGTTTCTTTTAAAGTATGACAACAAACGAATTTGTTTATAATACGGTACATCAGATAATGCAGAGTGAATAATAGAAAGCTCTAGAGAATGAACGAGGGTGTGTACCGAGGGTGTGTATGGGCGGTTCAGGGTGTGTACCGATATTTAGAAAAATAAAATGCGTTTAAATATTACTTTTTAAAGACAACACTTCTGAACAATCCAGTGTCTTGGAAGCTACATGTACAATGAATTTCTAATTTTATTTTCATATATTGAAAAAAATATATATTTTTTAAAATTTTTCTAAGATATCAAAATTTTGTAAATTTTTTAAATTATTTATTCTGTCAATTGATTCATGCATTGTCTCTGACTTTATTCAATTGTGCAAAAATTCAGATCAATTGGACAGGTCAAATTGTGTCATATATGGATTATAAGATTTGTAGCAGACGAAATTATTTTTAAATTTTTTTAATAATGAAAAAAAAATTTTAATTTATAAAATTATTTATTCTATCAATTGATTAATGCATTGTCTCCAACTTTATACGCAAGTGTGCCAAATTTTAGATCGATTGGACAGGTAGAAGTGTGTTAATATCGATTATAAGATTTGTAGCAGACAGACAGACAGACAGACAAACAAGAAGTGAAGTTAAAGAGAAGTGTTGTAAAAATCAATGACTTTTCCATGACCTGGTTCTAGTAATCTTTGAATGTTAACCGAAAAAGTAGTCGGCACAGCAAAACCAAACTTTGCCAGAACATGTACAAGATGTGTATCAAACCTACGCATCCACTTGTATATTTATTTGATCCTACAATTTTATTATGAATCCATTTTTCTCCACTGGTTCCAAATGCAACTGCTCGGCATTAATGGGTTAATGCGCATAGTTTAGAGGCGAGCATAGTTCAAATCACTACGACTGTTCTAACAAACGATATTCAGGAGAAATAGTAATGGTCTCGGTACAAGTGTAAAGCTTGTGTTATGTCTGCGTAATGTTATTTCTTCTCCATACTTTATTAATCTTTACATTTTACAAATCATCCTTGTTTGTTCGTTCAAATGAACGAGATGAAGATTATAGAAAATGAAACTTCCTATTTCTCAACAGACGTCAACACGATACATTTCCACAATTTACGGTGTGATTGATCTACCAAGTCTTATGCACTGTATTTTTTTGGATGCAATATTCTTGCTTTGTGATTCTTGCATGTGCTTTTTATTACGAGACCGATCGTTGGTATACCCCAAATATATTTCTGTCAATTAGTTGTTATAGTACGGCTTATTAATTATTCATCACAATAAATTCGTTAGAATTCGCTATCCAAGTGCACAGTCGGCTAGTCCCAGCCTCCGTTCGTTACCGCGTCTTCTGCGCGTACCTTCTTCCAGGAGATGAGAAATGGCTTACATCATATTTCCGTTGGGTGCTATTATATTATCCATTTCAGCTTCCCAATATTTAATTTCATATCTGCGGTATTCCTTTAGTAGCTCTGCACGCATAGACTTCTACGCTGTCAAAATATCATTGGCTGTTTCTATGCTCTGACCAATACAACTATGCCGTTATATTTCTAGTGTTAATTCTCTAAGGTTATCAGTCCATTATTACTCTTTAATCTGCTGCTCTAACTCTACGGCTCGTATTCTGCAGCTCAAACTCTCCGGATCGTATTCTGCAGCTCTAACTCTACGGCTCGTATTCTGCAGCTCTAACTCTACGGCTCGTATTCTGCAGCTCTAACTCTACAGCTCGTATTCTGCAGCTCTAACGCTGTCTCTTATACACATCTAGATGTGTATAAGAGACAGCCTCAAACGGTGTGCACAACAATGTGCACTGCTGCTCTCCTCAAACAGTGTGCACAACAATGTGCACTGCTGCTCTCCTCAAACGGTGTGCACAACAATGTGCACTGCTACTTCGTTGTTCACTGCTAATTTCTGGCTCACGTTTGGCATGTACTTGTGTTGCTTCCTTGTGTCGACTCTTCGCCTTGCACTCAATTCAGCATTCAAAACGCTCATCTCCCCTCCGTGTACACGTCATTTAAGGTTTTATTGCCTTTTGATTTCAAGTTCTTCAATATCATATTTACCGTACAGTATTATAATTGACCATACCTCATGATCGACGTTTGATGTACTGTCTTTCCTTCCTAAAAATGTCTACAGAAATTCATGTTATTTTGCTATGTATGGATTCAGTCATTATCCCAACTTCCTTCCACCCACTTTTACTTCAGCTTGACATTTCGCTCTCAGCTTACTCTGAGCTTTTAGGTAATGCTTACTGCCACAATTACTCAAGATGGAAGTGCTTTTTCTCTTAACTTCAAGTTAAGCGTAGCGGCCTTACATTTGTTCGATGAGGGTTTTAGTTAAACGGTTGGCAAACGTCCTGCTTTACCTCTGCTCGGTGACCGCTTACCTAGCGCTACGTATAATTGTAGTTTTATTTTAGGATCTCATAGCTACATTCCATTACTGTGGAGTTAAGAAGTCAAATGACCTTTTCTCATTTTCTTTTCATACGCAATTGGCTTCAGGACTGAGGCTTAGATTAGTCTGGGCAGGACCGAAAAAAATCGTGCGTATACGTTGACTATTTGAAATATTTTCTTCTTAGATATTAAGACGTAATCTCCCATAATATTTGAATGAACACATTTCTGTGATTGCGACATTGAATCGAGTAGCAGTGGAAACTCCTGCGTGTGTAGGTTGACATGCAAGTTACTGCTCATACCAACAAGTTGCTCCGTTCACATATGAACGGAGCGAGTGAACTATAGCGAGTATGTTTACAGGTGTTCGCTGCATATTGAACGGAGCGAGTGAACTAGCGAGTGTTTACAGGTGTTCGCTGCAATGCTAGGCGTAAAAGCCGCACAGCTGTGTTGCCCAGCCTCTCGTTCACTCCTGTCAAATCTACTGAATTGGGACAGATCTTCCCAATAAAATTTACTGAGCTGCATTAGTTTTCTTCTGTGAAGTTACCATGGCGCTAGTGAGGAATTCAGAGAATGAATAAATATGTGAACAGGTACTGGGGAGATATTAAAGGAAAAGATATTGAGGTATGTTTGGTTTGCACTAATTTTTTAAGGTTTGCGATGGGCAGAGTGCATTTTAAGCCTTTTTGAGTTTGAACGACCAAGCGATAATGAGTCCATGAGTGCAAATCTTACTATTGATAAACGTAAAATTCTACTTCGTTTAGCGGCAATACATTACTGTAATATTCAGCCTACAATGTTGGTAGGGCATATTCACTTATTTAGTTCCCGAACCTGTTCACCCAGCGACCCCTTAATACTCTCTCGAGTGTTGAAATTCCATTATCAACGCTTAAAAAAAAGCCATTTGAAGATTTTTGATCCCATATGGTCACTAGTAATTGTTCTCGCACTTATTTTTTTTAACTTAGGCAATAACTACCGGCATTTTCCGCTCAGCTTACGGTCATCTGACCGCTCATACCCCTGCTTGAAAACATTCAAACCTTGCACGTTATTGTTACGATTTCCTCGACACGCACTGCTTCATGAGTAAACAAGTCTTCTAATCTTACGACAGTTAAACTCGTTTCTCCTAACCATTCAACGTTTGTTTCAAACTCAACAATAAATCATCAGATGTTCATCTAGTAGCTTTATGTAGTCTACTTTCATTAATNCCTTACATTAAGTTATTATGTAGGTAGGAGACCTTACATTAAGTTATTATGTTGGTAGAATTCCTTACATTAAGTTATTATGTTGGTAGAATTCCTTACATTAAGTTATTATGTAGGTAGGATTCCTTAAATCAAGTTATTATGAAGGTTGGATTCCTTACATTAAGTAATTATGTAGGTAGGATACTTTACATTATGTTATAATGTAGGTAGGATTCCTTAAATTGCATTAAGTTATTATGTAGGCAGGATTCCTTACATTAAGATATTATGTAGGTAGGATTCCTTACATTAAGTTACTATGTAGGTAGGATTCCTCAAGTTAAGTTATTATGTAGGTAGGATTTCCTACATTAAGTTATTATGTAGGTAGGATTCCTTACATTTCCCTTCTCTGTCTCTTTCGTGCGGGCGACCGACGTCCCGTTCGAGTGTCTTAGTTTCTGTTGTTTTTCACCTGTCCCTCGTTATTTCACCTGTCTCGCGATCACTTATCGTTATTTTCAAATGGCAGTACCTTGAGTACAAAAATTATCAATTTTACGGATCAGGGGCCATACTTTCAAAACTCGCTAAGTGAACGTAAGTACTTACGTTCTATTTTACAACACTTCTCTTTAACTTCACTTCTTGTCTGTTTGTCTGTCTGTCTGTACGTCTGCTACAAATCTTGTAATCGAAATTTAATACACTTCTACTTATCCTATCGATCTGAAATTTTGCACACTTGTGGAAAGTTGGAGACAATGCATGAATTAAATGT